TACAAGACTGACTAACGTACAAGAAATTACATTGTCCTAAGAGCAAACATTTTTAAAGTAATGTGTGCTCTCTTTACTCAAACAAATAAACAAACATGTCCTTGTTTATCTGTCTAACTCAAAAATACACATTTGTTCTTTGTTGGTATGATATACCTTTTTCCAATACATTGTGTCATCATTGTTATGTACAAGTAATATTTTTCATAACTGCTAATATCAATAAGTTTTCAACATATATTTCATACATGCAAGATTCATTTAGAAGCAAAATACGCCTTTATTGATCTGTGTATCTCTTAGTGCAAATTTGTTCTTTGTAGGCATGATTTTACCTTTTCCCAGTATGTTTTGTCATCACTGTTATGTACGAGTACTGTTTGTCATAATTAGCCACATAATTGTGATCATCCACTGTCTTTGATATGACCTGGTATCTGTTTCAAAGCATAAAAAACCTCTCCTGTTTTTTTTTAATTCTTAAAGTGCGCTTTTATCTCTGGAGGCAAGACTTTTGTCTTTTCCTGTACATTGTGTCATCATTGTTATGTACAAGTCATGTTTGTCATCACTGTTATGTACAAGTCAGCTCCATTGATTTTGTGCTTTTGCCTCATATTAGTTAAAAAATTGTTTTACACATGTGTTTTTCTGGTACTGAGGCTTTGATAACTGTATTTGTACATCCTTTCACTATTGTGATGTGTTGTCAATGATAATGTCCAATGTGTATCCTTTCTTGTACATAACAATGATGACATGTTCTGTGCACTGCGTCATAGTTACAAAGCTTGCCATTCATATTACCATAAATGAATGGAGTTCATAGTGTACAAAGTGTTTGTTTACTAAACAAATGGAATTTTAAGTCTATAATTTGCTTTGCTGCTTATCTGTTTTTGTCATCACTGTTACATACAAGAAATACAGTAGTTGCCAAACCAATAGACCCATATCTCCAAAACCGTACATCTCCTTGCTCTGATACTCTAGGAATATGAGCACTAAATGTCAATCTGTGACTGACAGAAAAGAGAGTCAAATTCGTAAGAAATTTTTTTTTGCACCACTGAGTCTCAAGAGAGTCTCACGTTTTGGCAACTGCTCATATATATATATATATATATATATATATATATATATATATATACATACATGTAGGCTATATATATTTAGAATCTAATGAAGGTAGGAACATCAAATTAAATGACGTTACTCTATGCAACATCCCCCCCCCCCCTTTTCTGGAACAAAAAAAAATTGATAGAAAAACAACACATCAGAACAATAACAAGAAAAAAAATTACACACTAACGTTTTCAATAGATCAACGAGGTTCGGTTTCTTTCTTGTTTTCTTTTTTTTTCATAATTTGACTTTTATTCCCCGACCAAAAAATGCCAAATAATCGAGCCACGATTGATTGGTCGCAGCCGCGACAAACGCAGAAGCTAGTTCTATGTGTCTTTATCAATAACCCTCCGTAGATCTAGATCTAGATCTAGACAGCACACTAGTGAACACAACACATAAAGTTTAAGAGCAGCACCCTTCATAGGCAACACGTCATCTGTATCGAAAAACTGTTTGGAACTGTAGACTAGTATTTCTTTATATAAATATTTACTGCGGACATTTTTTGGACCGATTGAACCATATTGTATACAAACAATCTTTGGTAGGCCTATACTCTATATAACATCCGAAATTTGTGGGAAAGGATGTGATTTCAGAGTGTTCGGAGAAATAGTGCCCAGCTTTATTTTCCCGAACGTTCGGAGAAATAGTGCCCAGCTTTATTTTCCCGAACGTTCGGAGAAATAGTGGCGGCCAAAAAACATCCCTTGTATAGGCCTACATAATTTTCTGCTTGTGTTAATCCATTTATTTCCAAATCCAAAGCCATGCTTTCTCCCTTGTACAGATACTGTACATGATCCACAACTAGATCTAGATCTATAAAACTTCACAGTTAATGTTTAACTTTTTTCTGCTTGTGTTGATTTGCACCATAATCAGCATAAGGTGTAGAATTCTTACAATAATAGCTTGACTTGATCTCTAGATTCTAGATCTAAATAACTTGACAGCTTATATTCAACTTAAATCCACAACAATACTTACAAATAAACAAGTCTGGTAAAAAAAATCAAGCTCTCTAGAGTTTTCTTTTCTTGGCAGGCCCAAGATCTATTGAACCACAATCGTCATTTCTTCCTTTTGTTTACAGAGCTAATGCTGTGCTTCTTGTGCTTTAGAAAGTGAAAGTAGAAGACACTGTCTACACTTTCAAATAAAAGAGCACTTCCGGTATGGGTTGGCTATTTTTGACTTTTGGTAAAAACGGAACATTTTTATTTCGCATTTTTGAAAATAAATTTTTTTTTTTGGGCACGAATTTTCACGGAAATTTTCCCATTTGCAGAAATCTGCTAATTTGCGGAAATCCGCAAAAGACTGGAAGCCCTGTTTTTTGGTAAAAAGTGTTTTTACGGCGCTCGCAACTGGTCATATGAGCGTGTGGGACACACCTACCTAACATTTTCAGCAGGTAGGAAATTTTAAAGTTTGCCTGGGTGGCGGCCGAAGCCTTATCGATTTTAGAACACCAAGGGATCTTTAAGGTGCGCAACTTGTACACGGCCCCTTCGAGATTTTTCACCCTTGTCCGAGAAGGCTAGGTGTAGATCTTTCCTACCAGAAGATCAGGGGTGTGACTGAAAGATAGCAGTTAGAAGGAGCCAAGGAGTAGCAGTAGAAAGGCTGCAGAAAGAGTCAGGAGCCCAGAGGACGGGGCGCAGGAGCTGAGGGGGTGATGAAAGCACACGACAAAACATTGCTAGAGAGCTAGAAATGAGGTGAAAGGAAACAATTTTAGAGAAAGGAAAATTTTTCGGTCGCTACTCGCATTCGAACCCGGGACCTTTGAATGAAGGGAGTGCATACAGACCCGGTAACCGGGAACAAAGTCACAAAGTATACAGACCCGGTAGGGGAACTCTCTTGTGATTTCGGAGAGTTTCAGCGCCCTCTTGGCTCAGGGTAGACCTAGATCTAGGTTCTTCTAGATCTATGGCCTAAGTCTAGATCTAGGCAGACATAAATCTTTGATCTAGTTTTGCGGCTAGCCTAGATCTAGATCTAAATGAAGATTACAGATGTCTTTTCGATGAACGATCGTTTTTCCTCCGTTTTGGAGTTGGAGGAATCGCAATTTGAAGAAAAGAACAATGTCATAATTTCAATCTCTATTTCTCTGCCTCTCTCTCTCTCTCTGTGTATTGCTCGCCTTCTCTTTTTCATAGTTTGTCTCTGTCTTTTTTTCTCCCCACCTATTTCCCACTCTATCTTTCTCTCGTTCCCTCCTGCCAACTGGGGCATGTCATATACATTGCTAGCACCTCTCTCTCCCTCTCTCTCTCACACACACACACACGATTTCTACCGGGTCTGGGCGCTGAAACTTCCCGAAATCACAAAAGAGTTCCTCTACCGGGTCTGTACACTTCGTGACTTTGTTCCCGGTTACCGGGTCTGTATACACTTCGTTGAATGAAAGGCCAACACCTAAACCCTGGTAACGCGCAGTTCCTATATAAAGGGCGTGAGCCAGGCTACCCGGGAAGCGCGCAGGCCCTATATATAGGGCAACCTACTTTGACCTGGAATCACTCAGGCCCTATATAAAGGGCATAGAGACGCTGACCTTGTTCAATGGAAAATTTCAGTATTCCTTACATGGAAAATGAAGTGACTTAGTAAATTGCTGGTCAAAGTCATAAATAGTGAGCAATGACTTTGTAAGTTCTTGACCTCGTAGAGCGTCTCTTGGCGGAAATATAGATCGATAAAGTGACGCGATCCAGCTGAGCAACTACAGGCTATGTGTTATCACTTGTTCCGCTGTGTTAACATACTAATTGTTGCGTTCACGTTTTGCGCTTTGTTTTATTTATTTGACTGTTTTTATCATTTTTGAATGGCTCATTCTATCAGTTTTAAGAAAAGATGAACTATTGAGCCGTAAATGGTCATTTTTCAGTAGCAGACTACATCTTGGGTATCTCCGCTGGTATCTCCATGCCAAACCCCCACGTTTACAACCGATTGGCCGTGGCAGCGGGGTATTTTTTGCGGATTACTTCCGGTAAAACGCTGAGCGCTTCTAGGGTTAACTTTTAGGCCACGAGAGCCCCCTCACTCAGTGTAGGAAATCCCTTTTGAAAGTGACATCAAAATAAAAATAAAAACAACAGCTATAGATCTAGAAATCTAGATCTAAACGTAGGACGATAATAATGCATCATGTAGCACAAAGTACTCTAATTTTTATTTGGTCCTGTCCCTGTTAGCTCTATTTTAGATATAATATATATCTATCCATCTCTCCCTCCTACAGGACCTCTACCTCTAGTCAGTCTCTAGAATCTTAGCCTAGACTCTTCGGTGCTTTTTCGGTAGTTCCCACCCCCATTATTTGAGCCTGATCTACATCTAGATTCTAGATCTATACGTTTGATTCGCGGTGAGCTAAGATATCAAACCTAACAACAGCAAAACATCAAATTGTGGTAAAATTCAGGGGGGCAAGCCCCCCTGAAACCCCCCTACTCTTGGGGCCAAAACCCGTGAACAATAGTTGCGGGGTGGGAACTACCGAAAAAGCGCCGACTCTTCTAGTCTGGTGACTAGAAATCTAGATAGTAGGCTAAGAATCTAATAGGCAAGGAGACACCACCAGGCCCCCAAAAAGTCACAAAGGACATTCGTCATTTGGGAGGACTTCCGTAACGAGCGACCACTATGAGACAGAGCATATATAATTGAGGGCTAGGGGTAGGGGTAGATCTAGCAGCTAGGGTTAGTAGTGTTAGGGTTAAGTTAGGCCTCTTCTTTATTGTGTTTGATGGGGTGGTCGCTCGTTACGGAAGTCCTTCCAGACATTTTACATATGAATGCCCAATGAGGCTAGGCTATACAAACTTATTATGCCTGTCTACCTTAAAGTATCCGCCTTCATATAACGTCCCAGGAGGTCCAAATATTGCCACTTCCCACTCAAAGATGTTGTCATCGTTCACCAGCTTCACTCGAAATCCCTCGACAGGTTCTGCTTGTATCTTTTTCAGTTCTAGTTGAAGAGCTTTCACAGCGCTCCCCGCTGGACTTGATGCCATTGCCGTGTACCAGTGAACTGTTCAAACGACGTTATATCGAATACCAGCCAGAAATTTCAAGAAAAACGAACGGACGAGGAACAGAAGACGAATTTGGTTAGTCTTTGTGAGAATGTGAGTCTAAATATGGCGTTAATAAACAGTGACGTCACGATGTTGTTATAAATGTAGCCGTAAAAGAAAAAGTTACGATAGGCTTGGCTCAGAAGAAGTTTTATTTCTCACTAAACAATAATTTTATGAATATTGAATGAAATTTGTAAAACTTTAATTTGCTGGAGCGTAATAGAATTTGTTAATTTTTCTTCTAACTGTTACCATTGCTGGTTTGCGACTAGAATCTTAAACAGATATTTAATTGTGGTAGGCCTAACAGGAAATATGGCCGCTGGTGTATTGGAACAGGAAGAGAAGGTAATAAATTCAGAAAGCCAAACATGTAGGCATGATCAAAACTCATTTCTTTTGTCCTTAATGTTGTACCTGTTGTCTATCTCATTCCTATTTACAGCAGACTGAAAGACTAGTGCTGATCTGGGAATACTAGCCCTGCCCCAGACCGCTAATCACGGAAGCCTTTTTCTTTTTCAGCCCAGCAGACTGTTTCTATTTCTATATCTTAGATCTAGATTCTAGATTAGCCTAGATCTAACTCAAACTCAAACTGAACTCTCCGTGGCCCTGGGCCTGAACTGATGACGCAAGCGGATACAATCGAACCTGCCTTAACGGAAACTTGTATATAATGGATACCTGACCTAACGGAATCTCCCCACTCCCCCCTTGATATATTCCTCTTTGATTACCTCTCTGTACATAAAACGGAAACCTGCCCAACGAGGAAGCGGAAAGAAAAGTCTGCTAGGCCTACCTTCCGAGGGTTTCAGCTGTCTGATGGAAAATGCTTTGCCCGCTCGGCCCTGGTTTAAAACAAAACTTGCAAGTTTAGTTCCTCCAGCTCTAGACTTAACGCCATGGCCATGTTGCTGGGCAAGGAAGGGGTGTAATTTGGCAGTAGATGTTGGAAGTGGCTATCCTCACCCGGGGCGAGAATAAAAATACGATCTACCTCTCACCCCGGGTGAGACTTGCCAGCGTAGGCTATTCTCACCCGGTGTGAAACAAGACCCGTTTTTGCTCATTTCGGAATACTGTCTATTGGTGTGGATGATCAAATTGATAAAAAAGCCAAGAAAAAATTATGTTATAGCACAAAAGTAAGCTGCTAATTTGATCGTCTTCAAAGATGCTATGGCTATTTCACTTTTCGAATCGAGCCGAACTACGCAGGTCGCCATTTTGTTTTGCCGGGAAGTTCTCGCAAGGTCTACTACCCCCCCTCTCTCTCTATGTCTCTTTCTGAATACTGTCTATCGGTGTGGACGATCAAATTGACCAAAACAAAGTTAAAAAATGATGTTTAAGCACAAAAATAAATTAATTGGTCGTCTACAAAGATGCTACGGCTATTTAACTTTCCAAATCGAGCCGAACTATGCGGGTCGCCATATTTTTTTTCACGGAAGTTCTCGCGCTACTCCTCTCTTTCTCTCTCTCCACTGCCCACAGACAAAATTGCACGCTTTTAGGCTAACACTAACAATAGTAATAGAACGTTTGTTCACGGCACAGAATTCCACAATTCTGTAAATCACACTGTAGAATTCTGTGGTTCAGGGTGAACGCTACTCTGGTTGGCCTAGGCTATAACGGTGAACGCCCACTGGGTGAGAATAGCCAAAACACTCGCCTACGCTATTCTCACTCGGGGTGGAATAGAGATGGCCGTAGATGTTACCCCATCATGTGAGCCCTGAGTGATGCAGATGGTCAGGGTAGTGTGGGTGGGAAATCTCACGACTGCCCGTGAGACTGCTCGAATTGCGAGCCACTATAATGGAAAGTTTCCTGGGTAGCAAGAAGCCCGAGGTATGAAATTAGATTGACCAATGCCTTCTACCGTCAGGGTGGCGGCCAAAGCCTACTCTTTTCGAATTTAGACAACCAAGAGATCTTTTAGTTTTAACGTGGGCAACTTGCACAAGGGACCTTTGAGATTTTTCTCCCTTGTCTGAGAAAGCTAGGTGTAGATTTTTCCTGCCATAAGATGAGGGTATGGCTGAAACACAGCAGTAAGAAGGAGCCAAGGAGTAGCAGTAGAAAGGCTGCAGAAAGAGTCAGGAGCCCAGAGGAGGGGGCAAAAGAGCTGAAGGGATGGGGGCAGAAAGTGGAGACGAAAGCAGACGACAGGACATTGCTAGAGAGCAGGAAAAGAGGTGAAAGGAGACATTTTTAGAGAAAATTTTTTTTCCGGCGCTACCTGGATTCGAACCCCAGACCTTTGAATGAGAGTCAAACACCTTAACCTCCAGGCCACGAGAGGCCCCCTTTGCAGTGTTTGAAAGGTCTCGGAAGACGTAAAGTGCACCAGAGAAAGAGGTCAGTTATGAACTTAATATTGTTTTTAAGAAAAGAAGCAATAAAACTGGAAGTATGCCTCCTGGACACCCCTTACCCCTCCACCACCCCGGAAAGGCTCCCACCTCTGTCGGTGACTTGATTACGTAACATGTTGTCAGATTTTTTTTAAAGTCCCCATTTACGTCCCTGGTTACACCCATTTGAATACCTTTCTAGATGCTGTTATTGTTACGACGAATGATCATGGGTTCGATAGAAAAAAACATAAGTTCAAAACAATCAATTTTTATCAGGAAATATGTGAAATGTTAAACATGTAAAATCAAGCTAATTTATTTTAAGACTTTTAATTGAAAAATTGAAGTCTTGTTTCCAGATCTTTTTGAGTTCCTCATAAATGAGTTAATTAGTTCAAATTTCGTTGGACGAACCTTAAAAGCAACCACAACTTTATTTGTTTCGAAAGAGACATACACACCTCAGTATCGAACCAATGCAGACGGCTCTTGAACTAGACCACAAATGACACAAGCAGACTGACACTCACACACACGCTTCAGCTGCAAAAACACTGGACCTGCTGAAGCTTGGCACATGTAAAGCTAAATGGAGCTGTGCTGATTGATTCAGGACCCATTGGAAAGAGAGGGTGCCGAAATACGCTAATACGCATAGAATTCGGGGCCCAGGGGATAGTGGTTTAAAGTAAAACAGAGTGCCAATGAAAAGAACAAAAAGTGGAGATCTCTATGAGAGCTGCCTTATTTTCAACTCAGACAAATGCCTTGACAACACAGAATAAGGTTCGAGGGAGGTTATTGCTCTTCACTTGATGGTTTTCAATGCTATTACTTGGGCTATGGACAACAACAAATTAAAAAAATGCGCAATTGTATAAATTTATAAATCATAAAGTAATCTAAAAATGTTTTAAATGAATCCATCAACATAGGGACAGTCTGCAGCTCCCCAGTTTCTCATCTCTGTGTCCAGCAAAACAAAGCCACTTTCTCACCATCCACTGAGCATGGAAATTGGGAAAGAAAACAATTCACATTTTATAAATATAAAGTATTATAAAGGCTTTTCTCAGTGTTAAGTTTGAATTTTTTGTGAAACTGCCTACTCTATAACGAGTTACTCTGTGGCTATGCTACAGGCTATGAACCATCACAGGTACAGGATTAACTGAATACGTAAGGATAAAATTTCTTTCTTGAGTTTCTTCAATTGTGCAAATTGAGAGTTTTTGGTTAGCTTCTGCCACCATTCTGTTTTGTTCTGCCAACCTAGGTACTTAGCCAGCAGTCAATAGATAATTTCATTTCATTTCTGTGGAGTGGTTTGATAGGTCTAAAAGAATGGGTGTTCCCCCTGAAAGTGATAATGCAAGGGTCTGGTATGATGGATTTTAATATTTCTTTTTTATGGGTAAACATGTCTATACGAAACTCTTTACTGTCAGACTCAGGTCAGTTTTTATATTATAAGGCATAATTTTAAATGTGGGTCAAAATCTTCTTATTTTAATCTCCTGTTCATATTTAATTATAATGATGCAATGCTTGGTGGAGACGGATCTCTCTATTTACTAATCATTTCTCCCATGGTGTTTCAAACACTTTTTTGACATGACTGCAGATATCATTTTTAGCATGGTTTCATGTGTTTGTTTAGGTAAAGTTAAATTTTTTAAATAAATAATGGACGGTGGGATCTCAAAGTAGTCTTTAAATGAATGAGGTTGGACGTGCAAATTGATACTGTTTTATAATTGGCTGAACACATGCTTATTTTATTTTATTGAAGTTTTAACCTGAATGTAGAATTCTCTCGTGACAGCCAACCTGTTCGTCAGAGCAGAATCCATTCTTTTTTTTAACTTTCATTCCTCTAAAGTTTATGTGTGTTGAAAATCCATGAATAGCAGTCAACAAGTAGGTGTGCCCATAATGGTAGCTCTTGGAAGATATTTTTGTAGTTTGTGTCTTTGTGTGAAGCTAATCTTTTTAGGGTTAACATACAGGGTTGTTCATATATTAGGCTTTCTTCGGAGTCGAGGGGTAATAAATGGTCTCACAAGATTGTACAGAGCAGTGATATGAGTGTAGTAGTGTAGTATCTTCCAGTTTGTGTTTCAGTTTTAATCTTGAATAAATTATCTGTTTTTTTCTTAAGTGTTCCATGAATTCTGGTGCTGACAATAATTGTTGTTTGAAGATGAAAAATTTTACTTTTACTTTTACTTTTACTTTTTGTTTGTTTGTTGTGTAGTTCATCATACCTTGAGAAAGTTAATTGTTTCTTTTTCACTTTTGAACACAAATAATTTTGTACAAGCTTCTAATTTCTGTGTGCCAGATATCATCGCAAGATTGCTCAAAGATAGCACAGATAATTTAGGACATGGATTTTTTTTCAGGACCTTGGTCTAAAAAAAATAATAATTTGGTAATTACTGTTTATTGTGTATTGGCTCTATTATTTCTTTCTGGAAAATGCTGATATTATATTTTCTGTGATGTATATACCGGGTACGTTAAACTTTTCAGCTTCTATTCATCTTGATCTTGTGGCAGTTCATCCTTTGACTTATTGGATTAAGGTATAAGGGACGATGTTATCCGAATGGTGATCACACATTCACTACCAACAACAAACCAGTGATGTTATGAGTTTGACTAACTATAAGTGTCATTTTTGTGATGTTTGGTCATTTCCCTCTGTTGTGTGTAATGTTGGATTTTGATTGTAGTTTACAACCTGCTGCTCCGAGAAGTCAGATTTTCTGTCCCTACTTTTATTAGTACATAACACTGTCAAGACTGCAGTTGCACTGAGTTTTTTTAAATTTATGTTTTTGTACTTGAGTGTGTTGGGTTCTGCAATTTACTAAATGGAAAGAAAGTGTTGAGTTTGTCAACATTTGCACCTATAGAGGCTGTATTATGTGCACAGTTTAATTAAATTAAGAATTTAGGTGTAGGGAATTCTTTGGGCACTGTTTTACCTTTTCGAGCTCATTTTGCAAATGGGTAAAAATCAGGAGAGAGGTAGCTGGCATCAGGTAATTTTCAGTGTTGAGAAGATTGTGAAAACTGGGTCTTTGAATGACTTTGTACAAATAAGTTAGGATTGAAATATCTCATAAAACAATATCAAAAGGACAACCTTACACCAAGTATTTTCTTTGATTTCATTGGCAAAGATGTCAAGATTTTTAACAATATTGATTTTTCATTTTATATATAATAATAATAATAATAATAATATTATGCATTTTCTGTTGGAAATTTCCTTCCATGGTATGAATGTACCCCTCTGTAATGAATGCTGGTAAAATATGTAAATGTAAGCTGATTATATATATATATATATATATATATATATATATATATATATATATATATATATACATGTGTTGCTAGATTATTTTATGAGGTGCAACTTTGTTGTTTTCAGGCCATACAAGATTTTCTTAGTGAAGTCAACTTGTCCCAAGGTCAGAGGCACAGATCACCAGTATCATGGGGAACGGGTTGCAAGTTTCTTATGGCTCGCAAGTTCGATGTGAAGAGAGCTATCGATTTGTTTTTTTCTCATGAGGTGAGGAGAACAAGTATACACGCAGACCATGATTCATTTGTACAAATGTATCGGGATCTTTTTATTTTTGTTTATTATATTTTGCTGTGAATATAATCTGATTCTTCCTTTGGTCTTGCAAAAATGATGATATTAAATCTGCTTGAATTAAGAGAAAGTACATTGAGAGCACAATTCTTCTTAGCTTGTCTCAACGTCCTACGAAATATACTTGTGTGAAGTGCAAGGAAGGATTGAGATCTTTGAATTTTTAAAATCTACTAGTAAAGACTGACATTTTGTAAAAGTGAAGACTCACTTTCAGGGAACAGCCAGAAACAGTACCTTTCCATGAATACTGCCCTTAAAATTTTTCAAAAAACACAAAATGAGATTTTTTGGGGTCATTTTGTCTTAATTATTCAGAGAAACAAAAAATGTCTCTACTTCGTACATTAAAGTTATGCCGTGTTTTGGTTTCATTCCCTTCATTTCTTCTGAACAAAGCTAAATGGTGCTGTCTTTTTCTCTTGAATTGTTTCAGTCAACTCGTGAAAAGGAAGATTTGTTGTCTATAGATCCAAGCGATCGATACCTTCAGAAAGAATTGTCGACAGAAAAGTTTACAATATTGGTGAGTGTCTTTACTTTAATGGATCCTCATTATTAGTATTGATTTGGATAAGTCACATGTTGTTTACTTAATGTAATTCTATAATGCCTTGAAAATAATTCCTCACTGTAATTAGATATTACGCGTTAAATAATATAATTTCCTTACAGTGTGGCCTTATTCATTACAAGCTGCTGGCGTACCTTTAGCATGACAATGGAGAGCTCTGGATTTAGACCATTATGTATTGCTTTTGACTGCCTCTTCATTTGCGACTAATGACGACAGTCTTGAGTCTTGCTGTCTACATCTTTGGAACATAGATCAACTAAATAAAAATTATATTAAAGAGATATGAATTCCACTTTATCGATATCCTTGGGAAATTTGTTTTGTGGTGATGTACATATAAATGAAGAAATGCATAATTTATTCATGCATGTTAATACATGATTATACACAATATCACAAACATAGGCAATCTGCACACCATTGCCACTTTGCAGCACCCTGTTTTCAAGGGAGGTTTATCATGTGTTGCTCAAGAAGACAACCTAATGATCACTCATCTAAACTCTGAGACGCCAGCACGTGCTTGACTTTATTGTTGAGCCTGAACTCACTAACCACTCAGCCGCTGGAGCTTCTTATAACTATTTTCAAGATTCCCATTTGCTTTTATCCTTGCAGCTGTAAACCTAAACTGAAGAGCAGATGCTCACATTTTAAATAAGTGCAATTAGAAAGCAGTGGCTCAGTTCAGGAGTAATTTACAACATTAAGTTGCGATTGAAATTTGAAACCTATGGTATTATGAATTTTTAAGCTCAAAATAATGAAAAGCTTGCTGTCTAGTTCTTAGGAGCAATGAATGCTACATTCGTTAAAAATTTGCGGGCTGAATAAGTTAAGATTTCTTCTAAAGAGGCACCTTCAGAATATGATATGTAAAGATGAATGCACAAATATTCTAGGCAATAGTAATGATAGTAGATGGCATTTAAATAGCCCATTTCCACCATGAATACTCAATATGCTATACAGCAAAGATTATATGAAGGAGTACCCTTTTCTGCCTGTAGTCAAGATATGTATTGACATTATTTTTGCATCTATTTCATGACCTTATTATAATGACTTAGATTTCTGATAATCTTTTAACTTTGCTGTTCTGAATAATGAGCATGGCATCAGTTTTTTCATTCTTAAGCTGAAACTAATTTATGGTCTGTTATTTGTCAATCAATGATCAATATTTTTATTCCAATCTTACCATTAATCCACTATGAAAGAGATAGAACCTAGAATTTTTTCTTTGTAGGCAATGTAATTAACTAACATGTAAAAGGTTGGGTCATATATTATTTCAATTAGTTACTTTGCATCCAAACCAACCCTGAAAGTAGTAGAGCAAGAGAGGAAACCATTCCAGGACTCATTAAAGGCTGTAGAATGATACCTCTATTGTCAAAATAGCAGTCGATGCATAAATTGGTTGTTTTATCTCGACAGCCTGGTCGTGACCGCAGTGGAGCTGCTGTGGCATTATTCTCTGCACGTCTGCATCAGCCACCACAGACCACGCACCAGGTGGTGCTCAAGTCTCTTATCTACCAGCTAGATGCTGCCTTAGAAAGGTCTGATTGTCATTTCTCGTCTCTCTTGGTTCGTTTTTACAGGTTTTCTTTTTTTATGGTGGTGTTTTCATATTTCCACAGAAGGTAGGTTAGAGTCAGAAGTCAAGTCAGATTCACTTTATAAGAGGTCTATTGTGTTGGATATTGTTGTCATAATCTTAAAACATTTGATGTGCTATGGGTACTTTTTCCTCTTTATCTAAATACAGAGATGCTTGTTTTCGAGACAGATGTAGTTTTGACCTGAAAAACTGAATTTGTACACATATATAGTATTTTGCTCAGTGGGAACATATTGACTATTTTGATAGGCTTTTCTCCATGTACTACTTTCGAGTGTCACTATTATTTCCTTTCACTGTTTTTGTGTTTACTCACTGTAAGCCTCAACTGAGCAGCTCTTACCTATTTGTTGTTTTTTCTGCAAGCAAATTGATTCTTGCTTGAGAAATAATATTTCAATGATATTATGTTTTTACCAAAATATTTAAGCCGAAATTTGATCTAGATTTGTTAAATTTTATGTCTAAGAATTGTTTTTCTCACAGTATCTCCAGTTTATTTAATCAGAGAAATGTCTCATTGTACCCTTTTCTTCATGTTTTCTCAACCCTTTTAGAGACTTAACTCTTTTTATCCGGGCTACTAGTATACTCGGAACAGCGATACGGTCACGTCAAAGAAGCTAGTTCTGCTTGTAATTACCAAAATACGCAAATACGGCGATGCTAGCTCTGTCTGAATATTTTAATTTTCCAATGAACAGAATTGAACAGTGGTGAAGGGGTTAGTACTGGAATTTGTGCTCGATTTGTAGGTCTAGATCTAGATCTATAAAATCCAATGGGTCGTCGTGGGCGCGGCAATCAGGGTCAAGTTCGAGGGTGGAATACACCTCAAAATCTACATTGTGCAATTGGTGTAATTCCTAACCACATACATTTACAAAAACTACATTCAATTTCTAACATAACTGCCAAATTTCCTTAAAACCTTAGAGTAAATGTAAGAAATATAGCACTTTAAACTATATGCACTGACTTCAGACTCATACGGCGCGGCGGCCTCAGGACTGGTACAGAGTCCGTGGGGGTACGGCTAGGATAAAAAGAGTTAAGAAGGTGTACTTACACATACTCATGTACATTCATGAAGGCTTCTGTGCCAAAACGCACACACACACACACACACACACACACACACACACACACACACACACACACACACACACACACACACACACACACACAACAGTGAAAGTTGAAGGTTCGGGGGTTCGACCTTCAGGTTCTATGTTGTGTCCTTGGGAAAGACACTTTATAAAATTTCATCACCTCAACTAATTGAGAATGAGTACATGGCCATCGGCAGCAAACGATCCTGTGAGTTTGCTAGCGTTCCAACGCTTTAAAATGGCAAATTGCAAATTATAAAGCTTCAAGGGGAGTTGAGATTGTTTCAGAATACTGTCAAGTCTGTTAGGGTAATAATACAGATTGGAAAACGCATAGCGCCTGCTGTTGAGCGGAAATTTACGCTATACAAAGGGTATTTATTATTGTT